GGTCAGCGTCATCAGGTAATAATAAAACGTTACAAAATATATATATGTAAATCGATTTTAATAAAAAGGCAGCATATAACTATTTTAAATATATTTTGATGTAAAAATATATTAACGATATTTTGCTGAGCTATGGTCAGCGTCATCAGGTAATAATAAAACGTTACAAAATAACATAAAACAAACCGTTTAAAAAGAAGACATTAAAAAGCGTCAAATATAAAAGCCAATTAATTAAATTAAAACTTCTATTATGGATGTAACTCTTTATTAATTTTTATACAATGTTTCAAGGGATTATTGATACCCTCGTTGTCAAGTATATAAATTTATAATTGATATAAATTTATATACTTGACAACGAGGGTATCAGTAATCCCTGAAATATTGTATAAAAATTAATAAAGAGTTACATCCATAATAGAAGTTTTAATTTAATTATATTTCAAACTCTTTAATGATGTCTTTTAAAATTTAAAAAGCCAATTAATTAATATAATAATGACGTCAGTTAAATTTTTGTCAAAATAGGTTCCCAAGTTCGTGTTTTAACCTTACCCCCGTCATCTCGATTTAGAACACCTTCCCCAATACCTATCTCATATCAAACTTTCGCTTTGTTAATCTCCAGGGAATAACAAAGCAAAATCACTTTTTTGATGTCTAATTAAAACCAAGGGTGTTGGCCACTTCACGTTCAATTGAAATTTTAGCCAAATTGGAAAAACGTTTTTGGTCCACAGTTGATCACATGTAGTTTTTTATGAGCTTAAGTACACTAAAACTTTTTTAATTGGTAAGAACTCAGATCGGTATGGTGAGGAAAATGCGAATAGCAATTACCGTGTTAGGATAAGGCAAATAATATTTATAAATGAGCTGCAAAATATCAATTGGGCTGGTGTTTTCAAAGTTTTTTTATTGCTTCAGCAGCTTTATATTTATATTTAATTTTCTTTATATTTAAATTTCCCATTTCTAATTAAAAATCAGAAAAATCTAAGTCGTAAATCTGAGATGTCTTAAGCTAATCCACTGAACTTTTAGATGTCTTAAGCTAATCCACTGAACTTTTAGAGAGTGAATGCCCACAGAGGAACTCGAAATTGAAGGGTAAAGAAACTTCAAACCGCCACTTAATTTGTGTAATAATGCTTTCAAACACAAGGTTGCATAGGGATACGAATTCTGTTTCCGCTGAGAAGAGGTGAAAGTTGTCTTCAGCCTAATAAAATGCTTTATTCTTTACTTTGCGCTTTCTTTTGGTTGAAAAGCCACCTAAAATTCTGTTCTGATTGGCTGTTTCTGCGACATCTACAGTAATGTTGTCCGCCCTAACATCTCTCAATTCTGAATAGAAGCCTTTAATCTTTTCATTTTTTTTTTTTTTTTTTTTGCTGCAATATTTGACACCGGAAATCCAACAAACACAAAAAACCTAAAATAATTTGAATGATAAGATCTTCTGCACTGAAAAACGTGACAATATTTATCATAAAATTAATGGATTTCAAAATATAAAGAACTTCTTAGATTTTTTAGTAAAATACTGTAATTTTTTAGCAAAAAAAAAAAGTTTCATTTTTTGGAGACCACCATGTGTCACTATTTTCCTTTAATAAGATGGTTAACATTTTTATCTGCTTTTCTCATCTTGATGTAGCAAAAACATTTGCTCAAAAACATAATCTTTTTCGTACTAAAAAGTAGAAAGTAAACTTTTTAATTTAAATTTAATAGTTCAGTTAACTGAAGATTGACAGATCTGCGCAAGGTTTATATTGAAACAGACCTGTTAAACTTTAGTTTACTGAACTATTAAATTTAAATTAAAAAGTTTATTTTCTAGATTTTATTACGAAAAAGATTATACTTTTGAGCAAATGTTTTTGCTATACTTTATTTTCTACTCTTTAGTCTTTACAAAAAGTTCCGATATATTAATATTAAACATAATTTTTTTTAAAAAAAAAATGTATTTTTGAAAGATTAAAAAAAAAATACTAACCCACAAGCAATCTTAGCTAATTTTAAAAATGAAAAGCTTTATTTATAAAACTATATATATATATATCTTATTGAAAAAAAAGAATAACAAACCCAAAAAAATAACAAGCAATATTAGCCAATTTTAAATATAAAAACATTTATTAAAA